ATACTGAAATGAAATTTATAAGTTCACTATAAACTAGTGTTCGCCACCGCGTGTTGCGCCATGATTAAAACTCACTTTAAGAAAAAATGTAAAAAGCTTCAACCTGAGCAGAAGTGCGATGTGTCTAAAAACTCGGGATCGTATTTATATTTATATTGCCCCGTCCAATACCATAAATCACGATTTAGAGAATATTAACATCAGATGGAAATACGTCATTAAGTCAACACTTTTATTTTATATATATAAGTGAGATAGTAGATACTTAAACTACATTTGTTACTATAAATATTGCAGTAATCACAACTTTTCTTAGGAAAAAAAATATATATATATATCATTTGCATTTGTTTTCCACAAATATTTTTACTAATTGGTTGATTTTGATTTCAACTATGGTTATAGATTTCAATGCTCCATCACGTTTTTATACCTCCATCATCTTCTTCCAAACTATCATCTTTCTACCACTGTGAGATGGTGAAAGTCAACCTTATTTCATATTTGATGAACACTCAAACCTCATGTTGTCAAGTCATCATCTTTGGTTTCACTTTTATATTTGAACCATAATTTTTACTAGTTGGTTGGTTTTGATTCCAACCATGGTTATAGATTTCAAAGAGGATCATTCGAAATTAGATAACATATATAAGTCAAACCCCATGATTTAACACAAAGTTATCCGGATCTACCTTTTTATCCACTTCACTTTGTTCAAATCTTTCAACTATTCATCAATTTGGGACAAGTAAAACTCAACCAATGTTAAAATATTATATTAAATATTTAACTATTACATGAAATGTTTGTTATGTAAATAAAAAATAACTACTTAACTTAAAATTGGATCAAAATTTAGAAACACATTCAAGCCACTTGTACTTTCAACTTTTCACTTTTGTCACCAACGTGGGACAATCAATAATTCATCATAATTTACCATGTGGTAAATATTTGATTCTCATTGTGTCATATCATCATCTTAGGGTTTTTCACTTTTTTGTGGGATAATCAAAAAATCACCACAATTCACCATTTGATAAATACTTGATTCTCATTGTGTCATCGTTATCAATCTTGATTCTTCCTATAATATATATAGATTTATCTATTTACGTAAAACATTACATACGTAATTTAAATTATTTAATATAATGAATAAAAAATAAGATAGGGTTAGGTTCACGTGAGACCAAGAGTGTTTCGTGAGACCCGTAAGATCAATTTATGTTCATTGATCAATTTTATAAGCTAATGGTCTAAAGTTGTGCGGTGACAATTTTGTGATTATAAATGTTCAGATTGTAGATTTAATCCAATGGTTGAGAATTAATCTTACGAGTCTTATGAAAAACCTTTGATCTTACATGATCACAAATCAAATAAGATAATTATAAGTTATTTGACCTTTTGTAACGAATTTTCTTGGGGTTGATTTTGGATCCTTCGTAGGTTCATTTCAACGTCTTTGTTGACCAATTACTATTAACCTTCTCAAAGACCTTCCAGAAGTCAACTCTATAACTTTTTCTTTTAATATAAATAAATAATAATAAATGAACCAATTAATGTCTTTTTAAATAATATATGTATTATCTTTAAAAAAAAGCGTTACGACGTAGTTTTTGGTCAAAGTTCGACTAAAAATATCAAATGGGAAAGCTTTTATTTATTTATTTTAATGTTCACATTATTAAAATATTTTTTAGGGATCGTTTACCAAATGTTTATTCGAATAGGTGTTTATCAAATTACATTTTTTTACTGAATAAATATGATGAGAACCAAGAATCTTACCTGATAAGAGAGAAAGCACGGATCGAGAGTCTTACCCGGTAAGTGATGACCATGACTCTTACCATGGTTAGTGCTTACTAGGTAAATTCTTACATACGATGTCGTTTTGATATATTAAAATCTTACCCGATATAACTACGTGATAGAGTTGCATTTTTAACGTTAAACATTTATTAGATAAGTGTTTAGGTAAACCGCCCCTAAGTTAAAAAAACGATTAAGGGGTTGTTTGTTTACCTTTAAATAGTTCTATTAAGAGACAAACTCTGAATCGTTAAGAAGTGAATCTTGTTTGACAGCAAAAAAATATGTCTATTAATGGTTCTAAAACCCTTTTAATGGTTTTGTATATTGGGTCTCTCTTAACCATTCAGCACATTAATTTCATTATAAATAATTACCAAATAATTATATTTCATTTTGCACTGTATTATAATAGCTTCTTAATCATTCTAAATACTGAATTATTCTGCATCAAACCATTCAACAATTGTCAAACAACCCCTAAAAATAAATTTGAATGAAAAGATTCACTTATTTTCACCGATTTCTCCTCATTTTTACAATATATTTTTTTATAAAATAACAATTTTTAGGAAATTACGTGGTTTCTAGAAAACAAATTCAATATAATTTAACCAAAAAGGTAAATATGGTGTTTGCATATGATGGTAGTTACCGCCGCAATGTGACCGCAAAATTCCCATAGGAAATACGCGTCCCTGACACGTGCGCTCACGTGGTTTTTTCATGTGAACGGAAAATGTCCTTTTTTTCTTTTGTTCCAAGCTAACCACCGTCGGCCGGAGCTGTCATACTCCAGCTTTCGCCACGTGGCTCAATAACAACTCAGCCATTACCCCTTATTCATTTGCCTTTTTTAAAACATAAGAATGATTCCTCGTTTAAGATTTATTTGTTTAAAATATTTAATAAAAAAACCTCAACAACTGTATCAAAATCTAAACTCGTTGTATCATGTGATATATATATATATATATATATATATATATATATATATAAGACCGGTGGTTTTTCGTAAGATCCATAAGATCAATTTATGTTCATTGATCAACTTTATAAGTTAATAATCTAATGGTCTAAAGTTGTACAGTGACAATTTTGTGATTATTGAAAAGTCTCGTGGCGTTTATGAATGTTCAGATTGTAAATCTAATCCAAGGGTTACAGGTCTCACGAAAAACTTTTGGTCTCACGTGAACCCAACCCTTGGGAATATTGTAGATATTTAGGGTGCGTTTGGTGCGCAGACAGGACAGGACGGGACAGGACAGGACGGGACGGGACAGGACAGGACAGGACAGCTGTTCAGCGTTTGGTAAGACAGGACAGGACATGACAGAACTGGTGAAAATGACCAATTTACCCCTAGTGAGCTGTTTAGTGTTTTTTCACTACGAAATGCAGGGGCAGTGGGTTCATCATCTTCATCCACAATATCAAACACATTTACCAAAATTCAAACACATTACCAAAATTCATCAAACA